GATACAATTTAAAAAAATGAACACATATGAAAAGGACAAATCACATTTCAGAACAGGAGGGGGATGCGGGGGGGGGGAAGGAAGGTAAGGGTCTGTGAATTGATGATATTAGAGGTGGGGAGAGGGGGATGTCTGTGAGCTAATGATATTAGAGATGATAATTGGGGAAGCTATCTTGGTAATGGGTAAGATAGTTTGAGTATTTGTTTATTCCTTCCCGGAGAGCGTCGAATTCATGAACATTTATAAATGGTCTTAATGAATGTGTCTGGACTATTAATGGCAGTTCACTACATTTATTATTTACATACCTTTCAAAGCAATTTAGATTGTTTATAGTATATATTTGTCTGGATTGCCTACAAATAGCAGTGCGATGCATGCAGGATTACTAGAGTCAGTCTGAGGCATTACATGAACCAAATCTGTTTTTGGGCTTATTTTCAAGTTTCTCTGTGCAATGAATCAGAAATAAAATTCAAAGCAGGCACTTTAAAAGGTTAGGAAAGATAGGAATGAGAATTAATATTAATACAGATTAAAAATTAGAAAGCTGTGTTCAGCTCTGAGCTAATAATTTTCTCAACAGACATCCCTCCTATTTAGGAGATTACACAGCCTCAGGTCTTCATTTTTTACCCATTCTGTCATGGGACTTCATCCTTACTTTAAAATGTAAGGCTGTTCCTTTGGCTATGATATAATAGATTTCATCTGAAGAATGCATTTCAGCTGTTTCCATATGAACTCTCCACATTTACATAGAAACCTTAATTCCAAAATCTGACAGTAACTATAGTAACCTGAATTTCAGTGTTTTGCAGGGGGAAAAACATAGCCTGTTCAGAGAGAAGAAAGAATGTTGTGTTAATTATTAAATTATGAAAAAACTAGACTGCATATGTTTATTAAATCAACCAAGTATGATTGCTATTCAAAAACTAGTATAGGTCAGAAAAGTTGGAGAGTAGATTTGTAGGCTAACTTTGCAATATTGTTTTCACCAGATCTACTGGTTCAGCAACACTGGGACCTGACCAGTCCTGAACAAGGGAGTTTGCCAGAGCAGGGGAAGTCAATGCTGGCCTCCCTTCCCCTGGCCTGGCAAGGCTCCTGGCCCCACTACCAGCTGTACAGCCAGAGACTCCAGACCCTGGCAGGACTGCCAGCCCTGCTACCACTCACTAGCCCCATGTGGCTCCTGGCCCCACCTGGGCTGCACACCCAGCTGGGTGCTGTCCCTGCTGCCACTGCCCTAGTAGGGCTGCTGACCCCACTTTTGCCGGTCTTGCTGCTGCTGGCCATGCAGAGCTCCCAGCCGCAAGTTCACCCACTGCCTCACCCTCCCAGCTGCCAGGATTCTCAGGTCCGGGAACTTCTGCAGTCCTGCCAAATCACAGATGTTGCCAGATCAGAGAGTTCAACCAGTAGAGCAATTAAGTATTTTGAACAGATAGAATTACAGTAGACTTCCGATAATCCGGCACCTTTGGGACCTAGGTGGTGCCGGATTATCAGATATGCTGGAGTATCGGGAGGTACTCCGGCGGGGGGCTGTGAGGGGTCTGCCAGGACCCAGACTGCATCCGGGGGGTGGGCGGGAACGGCGCAGCGAGGGGTGAACCCTCCGCCATTTTGCAGGAAGGCGGGGGAAGGCC